AGCCAATGGAATATCAAGGGAAACATTACATACACAGCATCGAATCCATCCAACCTGCAGTTCACCAGGTACATCTTTATATTAATAAATAAACAAGTCACATCTCGCGCTATTGTCGATCTGGGCACACTTACGCTCTCTCGAACTAACCCTCGACATCGTAACAGGCCCGCTAGCAGAACCAGGGCACACTTACGCTCTCTCGAACTAACCCTCGACATCGTACACGCCCTGAACAGCTGACTCAAGAGTCACTGTGGTTCACACACATTGGTTACACATGACCAACACAGATCGACTAATAGACTCTACAGATACGGATTATCAAATCCTCCACGAATTAGAAATACTACTTCTAATTGTTTTTTCCTGTGACTAGATTCTACTGCTGTCCCCTTTACATAATTAAAGACATAATTGATTACATAATAAATTCCATTCAAGATCTAACAACTCATCAAGTATAGCTATTCATCAATCAAGCATACTTGATTCAACTACCATCTTCTCATGCTGCCTCACAAGCATGATTGACTGACGACATCAGCTGACATTGACAACATCAGCATAACCTCAAAGCAACACAGTAATATCCATAGAAGCCTTCATAGCATAAGAATTACAAGAACACATCATTTGAATAATCCAACAGAATTATTTATTTCTACACAACAGTGCAATATTATAATAATTGTTTACAATCATTAACCTTGTTTTAATAAATATATTATATTTTTCAGCCTTGTCTGTTATTGATTTCCTTTAAAATTATCCTGCCGAGAGACTAATCCACTGAACTATTGAACTGGCAGTTCGAGCCATAAGCTAACCCTTTAAAATCGAACAAGGATCAAGGAAGCAAACATGAACTCCAGTAAAAATATTTTTATATCCCCCATTGGGAGATAGTCAGATTATCAATATTTTACAATTTTGTATTTTAAAAAATTATATAATATAAAGTACTTTTTATATCATAATCTTGTAAAACATGGTAATTTAATAAAAGACATATTACTATATTTATGAGAAAATATCTAAAATTTAAATAAAATTTTGTTTTATACAATTACATAATATAACGATATATGTAAAACAATTTTTTTCTAAATAACCAAGGCAAACTTTTAATAAAGAATTTAATAGAGGCTCCATTTTAGATTGTAATTATTTTGAAAACTATTATACAAAGTAATAAAATACATTGGTTAATATACAAGTTGAATGGTAAATAAGTTGCATTTATATTCTACCCAAAACATTATTCATGCTATTAAAATACAATTAAACAATAACAAAATTATGAACAATATTTTCTGTATAAATTAATTAACATTATTATTAAATTTAAATTGAAAAAATTCTTGTAATATTTTATAATAATTTAATTATTTTTTATTTAATTAAATAAACTAAGTAAACTAAAAATTTTATATTTAACTGAATAAGATAAATAAAATTTGTTGATGTTTAAATTGATCATTTAAATTTGCAATTAAAAAATGATACAACAATTTCTGACTCAAATGTGTAAACAAATTATTTTTAATTGAAGCACAAATAATACATTATATTTAAAATATTCATAGAAAATTATAAATTAAGACGATTATAATACATTTTATCGTTTGATTTATCGAATTTTTATCCTTTGTACAATCTGTTATAGATTAGTTTTTACATATTATAAATATTTTAAAGAAATATAATATAAATTAAATATAATTTTTTAATATACATCCATTAATTTAACATATATTTTTGTATTAATATTACTGTTTTTTCAATAAAACTTACATATATTTTCTATGTAAATTGTCTTCATTTATTGAGAATATTAATTCCCTTTAAAACATTACATAATTCACTTTAAACTGCAAACTTCAATGAATTTTTCTGTAAGATATTTTTCTGTTTAAGACATATTACATTTTACTACATTTTTTTCATTCGTGAAATATTAAACAAATATTTTATTGTTTTTCAGCTTGACTAACTATTTTATAGTTAACTTATCAGTGGCCGATCTACTGGTAACTATAATTTGTATGCCAATTGCAATCGGTCAAGCAATGTCCATTAAATGGGTATTTGGCGAATTAATGTGTAAATTCTTTTTCTATCTCCAAGGTAAGTTTTCATTGAAAATCTAAAATTTAAGACTTTTCTATTAATAATACCAAAACTTATTCTCTTCAATTTTAAAATGATATTGTTTTTCATATTTTCCATAAATTTTCTTTTGAACAATTTTATTAATTTTATTTTATTTACTTAATACATTAAAATTTATTTTGCATTATAAAATAAATTTTATTCATTTTATATAAATATCATTAATTATGGAAGAAATTATAATTTAAACATTACTTTATCATTTTATTTAATAAAATAACTTTATATATTTTTTAATATAAAATATATGTGTACAATATTTTACGATATCAATGAAAAAATTATTGTGAATTATAAGTGAAAAAAATTCTTATTGTATAAAATTCATTACCAATTAGGTCTATTTACATAAGTAAGTTCAATTTGCAAATTTCCTTTATATTACAAAAATATTCTTTAAACTGTTTTTTTTTTTTAATGGAAATAGTTAGATTGTTTATTATCCTCATTCTCATTTTGTTATTTCATTTTTTTGTAATGTTATATGCATGGAAATAAATCATATTATAGGAAAGAAATTATATTATTTATTTTCTCAATTTTTTTGTCGTTTTTTAATCTTTTTATTTATTTAAAAGTTATTTGATGTTTCTCTACATTCTCATATTCCATTATTAATCTAATATAAATTATTTTTGAGCTAAAGAAAATTATAAAATAAAAATCGAAGAATTACTTTATTAGAAAAATAATTTTTGGAATTCCAGCCACCAGTATGATCGTAGATCACGGTGGGTGGATTAGACTGCACTACCGATTTAATGGCGATGGGTGGCGGGGGGGGGGCTAATGCATCAAATCAGAGTAAACAATTGGTTTTAGTGACCTTTATTTAACCAGTTGTTCCAGTTCAGTTGGTGTTGGCGTTACTAATTGTAGTGAGAATTGCTGAGTTCGTAGTGATTAGGCAGTTGATCATGAACTTTAGAATATCGTCCGGGAGTGCAAGTCTAAAGGGTGAATTGGGAGTAGTGGGTATACGGTTTAGTCTCTAAATTTAAAGAAGTCTCTCCGGTTTTAGAATCATTAGATAATTGATTCGGCAATGGTTTTCTAGAGAGCCCTGTCGGGCTTGCGACTTCCTTAACGACTAATTCGGCAATAAATTTTACGGAGCGTTGTTCAGCTCGCGAATGCTTTGATGTTTGATTTGCTGATAAAATTAGCGGCGCGTTGTTCGGTTCGTGAATGCCTAGTCGTTTGAATCGGCGCTAGAATTTTACTGAGCGTTGTCCAGCTTGCGACTGTTTAGGCGTTTGAATCGGCGATAGATTTTACTGAGCGTGATTCGGCTCGTGAACGTAGCGGGGACTATTACAGATCGTCAACGCCCTCTTTTGTTGATCAGAACCAAGTCGTAGAGGCGTGACCGATAATATCGTCGCTGTGCCGCATTAATGAGAATTTGGCGGGGACCAACAGTCAGTATCGGCGCCTTCTTTAGCGGTCTGATAAGAATCAAGTTGCAGGGGCTTAATCGATAGTGTAGGCGCGGGCCGCGAAAAATTATGTGTAGTATTGATAAATTGCTGGAGATGACAGTTTGACTATCATTACGTTGCGAAGGACGCACCGGTAGCTGGCCAGCAATAATAGAATAATCAATATAAACAAATGAATATACCTTACACGTATTCCCTTACGTTAGTGACGTATAGTCACTAACAACCTCAATGTGTACTGCGGACGTGGCAAAGCACACGAAAACACATATCCATGCATTCTGGGTCTTTGCGCCTTGTCCTTTCCAAGTTTTAATTATGAGTGGTCCAGCATAATCCACTTCTGTGTGGGTTAATGGCCTTGATGGCGTGACTCAAGACCGTGGAAGTTGTCCCATCGATGGTTAGCGCGGATTCCTTTTTGGCGGCCGCAAATAGCACACCGCAATATGTATGACTTCACTGGTTCTCTTCCTCCTATAATCCAATAATTTTGACGTAAGAAGTTGAGAGTGAGCCGGGTGCCTCCATGAAGGGCCTTGAGATTGACGTGAGCTATGACGAGAGTTGTAAATGGGGAATGTCGTTGTAGGATGGCTGGATGCTTGGTTTCTTCTGGTAGCGATACTCTCAGTAGCCTGTCCCCGACTCTTATGATTCCTTGGGAGTTTATGAAAGCAGTCAGGTGATGAAATGCGTGTCCGCTGGGAAGTTGGTTGTTGGACTGAAGGCTCTTAAGCTTGAGTCGACTTTATCCACAATATTCTTGCCCTTTCTAGTTCTGATCGTGTTATAGAGTTGTGAGACCGTGCTGATTCTTGTTTCCTTGCTTGCTATACAAATTTGAAGCATAGGGAGGTTATTCTCAGGAGCTTGTTAAGGTATGAATATTGCCACTACTGCTTGGGTTGTCGAGTTGCTGCTATTAGTGATATGCTGGGCGAGCTTCTGGAATACATTGATTGGAATCCTGCTTTGGTTGTTTGGGCTATAGTTCTGGGTTGTGTAGCCATGGAGGTTCTGTCCACCATAATGGGTGGCTTATTAGTTGGTCCGCGGGATGCACAGTCGGCAGGGTTTGAAGTGCCTGGGATTTATTTCAATGCGCATCGGCGATGAGTTCTTGTATTTGGGTGACTCTGTTTCTCACGAAGTCCTTCCAGCGAGATGCTTGGGATCCATTCTAGGGTTATGCGTGAATATATCCACAAGTAGGTTGTCCTTGTTCGGATCTTTAGCGTCCTTTTTACGTATCGCATGAGTTTCGGCAGTAACAGCGCTACTGCCAATTCCAGTTTTGGAATGGTGATTCTTTTTAGCAGGGCTACCCTTTTTGCTTTTGCGCAAACTAGCGTAATTTTGGGGCCATCTGAGTTGTCGGCGATGAGATAGATGACTGCCGCTATTGCTACTTGCGAGGCATAAGAGAATCCATGCAATTCTATTGTAGATGTACTTCTGTATTGAACTATCATGGAATTTAGATTTTGTCGAGGTCTGACAAGTTTTCTCTAATGCTACGCCACTGCGAGGTTACATGGTGCGGTAGTGGATCGTCCCAACTGAGTTTAAGCAACCACAGTTCTTGTAATATCATTTTTGTCTTGATGACAATTGGGAAAACAAAACCTAGTGGATCAAAATTTTTGCGATTTCGGACAGCATTATTCGCTTTATTATGATGTCAGGATCGTGGTAGGGAGTCGTAAATGAAAATCTGTCGCCATGTGGGCTCCATTTTAGTCCCTGTATTTTAGTGTCGGGTTCGTCAAAATTGATTGAAGCCTCTTAATTTGGATTCTCCTCAATTGCTGCGAGGACTTCTTGTCTGGTTGAGTGCCATTTTGCTCGTGGAAACCTGCCCGCCATGCATAAGTTCTTTAATTAAATCGCTGTTTCAATCAATTGCTGCGGGTTGTCGGCTTCTCCGAATATTTTATCGACATTCGGCCATGTATTACGGATGGCACTGCCATGGGAATTTATCTCCTTCGGCCTCGACTAATTAGAGTAACGTTCTGACTGCAAGGAATGGGGTTGCTCTTGTGCCATATGTTACGGTTTTTAGTTGGAATGATAGTTCCTGTTGTTGTCGTTAATCCACCTTATCCGTTGTAGGTCCCAGTAGTCCTTATGAACCTTGATTTGCCTGTACATCTTTGTAATGTCTTTTCAAAATAAGTGCTTGTGTGTGCGTATCCTGATCAATACATCACAGATTTCGGGATTTAAGTTTGGTCCAGTGTGCATGTCGTTGAGTGATACGCCTGAACTGCTTTTACTGAATCCATTAAATACTACCCTTAATTTCGTTGTAGCGCTGTCTGATTTGAGCACACCATGATGTGGCAAATAATAGTGGATCTTATTGGACTGGAACGAGGGTGGAGCTCGCTTCATGTGATGGAGGTCCTTGTATTCCGTCATGTACTGTTGGTACAGTTGACGATAGTTATCGTCTTTCGCCAAGCGTGTCAGCAGGCTTCGTAGGCAGTAATGAGCTGTGCAGAGCGAATTTCCAAGGGCTTCAGTCGATTCCTTAAGTGCTATATGAACCGTGTAGAGTCCCATGCGGTCTCTTGAATGAATTCTCTTATACTGGTCTTCACACCACTGCTTATCAGGTGTGTATAACTGATCTGGGTCCGTTGTTACCTCTTCCTGCCCCCAAAATCGGGTCAATAGTTCAAACAATTGCTCGTCGATGTTGGTGGTGGCATGCAATGCCAGTGATGTTCCGCTGGAGGTTCAATTCACCGGACCGACCACTAACCACCCGAATATGGACAGTTGTGCAATGGGCATTGACGGAGAGACAGAGATGATGTTGTGTTGGATGACTTGTGCATAGATGTCTGCTCCGAGCACAATGGTCTTGATATGAGATATAGTGGGTCGGCTAGTGTTAAGTCCTTAAGGTGTGGCCACTCTAGGCTGCAAGTTTCGAAAGATGGTAACATCACTGTCAATGTTTTGAGGACGTGAGCTTGAACGGTGACTACGTAACTTGAATGAATGGATTGCAGGTTGAGGGATACCACGCCCTTTGCTTTTGCTGAAGAAATGCCTCCAATTCCTTGCACGCCGATGACGGAATACTGTAGTGGTAGTCTCAACTTCTTGATTATCTCCGCAGTAACAAATGTGATTTCAGAGCCTGTGTCCATAAGAAGTCGAACTTGAAGTGTGGTCGTTGTTGACGTTATCCTAACCAACGCTGTTGCGAGCAAGGTTTTCGCAGTCTGTGAAATGATTGTTTCGACGATTGCATTTTATTGTCAACTTTGGAGCGCAAGAATGCTTGACGTTGATTTTGTGCCTACATTGGAATGTACCAGTGTATGATGTCTTCCTTGATACTTATCGCATGTCCCTTTGATTTTGCATGTGTGGTTAGAGTGATACTCCAAGCAGTTTTAGCATAATTGGTTTCTTCTTCTTACCTGGAGCCTGTCCTTGAGTGACAATTTTTCGAAATCTGGACATGCAGTTATGAAATGTTGCTGCTGGCAG